TAATGTTAGTTGACTTTATAACGTTCGAAAAGATAAAATATAACGACTATACCGTATGTGAATTCTTGAGTTTAGGATAGAGTTTTTAATCTTACAAAGGAGTTCCGGTTCATTTTTTTATTCTAAAATATTGTCGTTTTTGTTAGTTTGAAACTTTTACAGGTAATTACCGTGAGTCAATGAACCAACCTTAGGGAAAACGTGGCTAATGACGTAGTACGCCGGCACCGACCTCCGTTGTCGGACACCGTAACGAGCTTCCACAAATACCTACGGCCTTACGGGAAAGGGTTATCGCGGAATCGGTAATCCGTAACAACCCCAGCCACAGAAAGCAGAAAAGAGTATGACATTTTTGTTTTTTTAATTGCATTACAGAAAATAAAGAACTTTATCACAATATTCTAATTTTCTGAGACAGTCCTGTATAAAGAAATTGCTGCTTTAATATTAAAAACAGCCAACAGATCTCCGACTGATTGTCAGAAAAGATCCAAAATATGTTATACTTCTAGGTTTTGAGATTGTTATGCTGAAATATAACAGATTTGAGTGATTTAGTACAAACTAAGTTGTTCAACAAGGTAACATGGATGTATTATCTTTTGTTCAGGACAGGTATGTCTCCCTTAGGCGGAGGTAAAGACAGACAATAATAACTTTCATAGTTATTCTTTCATCCCTTGCAACATTTATTACATTCAAGGTTAATTAGAGACATTACAAGATGGAAGCAATCAAGTCAAACATTGGCTATAAACTGATTCCTCCAACCTTTTGTACATTTCTATTCCGAAATTACTCTCCAACGATTGCAGGGAAATCAATTGGTAATTACCAGCTTGCTGTTCATAATTGATATTTAGCGCCAGCTCTCAGGAAGCACGCATTATTCAGCCAGTGTTTTTGAACCTTCTGGTGCTGCATCCATCTCACTCGCTGCTCAATGCACACAATCTGTTTCTGTTTGCCTGCAAGCTCCTCTGCACACTCAGCTGCTTCTGAGGCACGTTCATTGGACTTTGGTGTTTCCCTTCTTAAGCATTTTCTTTAAGGATGATAGATAAAGATAGTATATTAATGATATAAGATAGGGAAAGCCTCAACCTCCAGGGATCACAGCTTTTAAGGGTTTTGTGTGACATATTAAATATATTTCAGCAACTAGTAGCCTACTTTTAAAAAAAAATGTTATTACTGGGTCACATTACATTACAATACATATCATTTAGCCTGGCGTTCTTATCCAAAGAGCAATAAACCATAAAGATACAAACTCAGAACAACAATACAAATGCAGATACTTTCCTTCAAATAAGCCAAACCATCACCAAACCCATTGCTTGTGCACTAGTTTCAAATTGGCTAAACTCTTCATATATTTGCCAAGATACAAGCCAAACCGGTTTGTTTGCAGTTTAAGACGGAAGATATGTAGACTTTTTGCTGATCTGATATCAATGGGGAGCCCGTTCCACCGTTATGGAGCCTGAATAGCAAACAGGCGTGTTTTTGTTGAGGGGTTTCTGGGTCCATCTCCCAGGGGAATAGCAAGCTGTATCACTGCTGCAGAGCAAAGTGCACATGCTGAAGTGTATGGTTTAACCATGTCCTGGATGTAGGAAGAACCCGGTCCTCTCGCAGCATGGTAGGCCAGTACCAATGTCTTGAAGAGTATTTGGGCAGCCCCTAAAATAATTAAAGAAGATGTTCAAATAAAGACGTTAAAGACGTTTTTTCCAAGATGGCAGTAAACCTAAGAAAGTAGGAGTGTACAACCTCTTAGCGAGTCAGTCAGCGTCTTCTGTCTCTCAAAGCCTGGTGAGGTTCTTTCTCCTGTCCTCTCATTAGCTAAACATAGCGGGAATTAGCATATCTAGTAAGGAGAAATATCCCTTGTGCATAGTTAGAGTACAGTGTTTGTGCCAAAAGGTCTGTGTCACGCTTACCTAAATATAAAACTGGAGCAAAGTAATTAATCAATTAAACATGGCCTGTCCAGGTCATACAAAGTCACCTCTCGCTTCTGCCACCAGTTTGAGCAGGACTGCTACATTTGCATGTCATTTCGCTTTGTATGTAAAGAAGTAAAGTTCTCCATTTCAGTATGACGAGGGAGTTGAAAAATACACATTGAAAGAAGGTACAATGTACATACTACATCCCAGTACTCACCAGCCACTTCCATCTGCTTTAGCTCAAACTATCATCCAGAGTACTTTGAAATGATAGCTCTTTGGGCCCTCTTACTACTTAAATGGTGTGGTTTTATATGAATATGAAATTAGACTATTGAAATTTGCTGCTTATTCCTTGTTCATGTTTTTACAAAATACAAGATAGCACTGATGATAGTTGAGTCACTTCTCTGCTTGGCTGTGTGCTGCTAGTGCGTCGCCTTTGTACTGCCTTTGTAAAAAAGGTCTGCAATTATCTACAGCGACCATGAGATCCCGGCACAACTGATCAGTGTTAGATTCCTCTTTCTGGCTTTGTAATTTTCTGTACAGAGAGTCTACTGTGTGTTTTGTCAACTTTTTTCATCCTTCTTTTGTAAATCCTCTCCGGGATAGAACACCAATGATTAAATTCACCTGTCGGTCTGGTAATACCCACAATTTCACAAAATATATCTCTCTTATGTTTGTTTATAAACAGAGCTTCAAAATTAATCTATGAATCCTCATCAGCTTATACATTTCATGAATATTTTTTCCAAAGCTCCTGCAGCTACTGCAAAGAAATAATTATAAGAATGTATTCTCAATTACTGTTTACTAAGTGACGATTGAACTTTCTCCTAGCCTTCTACTAAAAGGACATCCTTACTTCTCCTGTCCAAACTGTAACCCATTTTTAAATGTAATAGTGTTTTACATGGCACTGAGAGTTATATTGGAGAACTTTTCTAATTTCCTTAAAATAACCGTGGGAACCATGTGATTATGACTTATCAGCAGCCTTATCACGTGGGTCCTTTCTACACGCAGAACAAAAGCAGCAGTAATCCCGCTGCAAGTTTAAACCTCTCTTCATAATTTTAGTTTGTCAGAAGTTCAGGCTCCATAATCGCTCTGGCAAGGCAGGAAATGCCTTAGTTCCATTTAATTCTCTATTATTATCAAACCTTGTGACTTGTGCAAAGTTTTATGTAAGGGATAATGTGCAGCGACTTGGTCATTATGGGTAAAAGAACACCCGACAGGCAGATCAGGATCTTGATCGGCATAAAGGTGTTCTTTTACCCATAATGACCAAGTCGCTGCACATTATCCCGCTTATTACATGGCCACGTTCTCAACAAAGTAACGATATGACTCCCAATATTAATTTAAATGCTTTTATGGATTTAGAAAATGTTTTTATTGATTTAAAAAATAGTTGCATGTATTGATTTAAATTGACACGCATCCGCTAAGAAAAATAGTCCGTTGTTACCGTTTGAAAGACGTAGCAACGGCAGGAAGGCGGAGCTTTTTGATTAAAGATTTCAAAACATCGTTGCTTGCTATAAAAGAAGCACAATTAATTATGTCAAACCTTGGAAAGTATCTAGATATCCCTGCCCTAATGCCAAAGTAACTGGCAACTGAATATTGTTTTTATTTTTAACCCAGGGTAGACAAAGTTTGTGTTTTTTGAGCTGTCAGATGAAGTCTGCTAAGTGTTTTTATAGAGCAACATTACATTTAAGAACACTTACATCCACAGAAGGGAAAATTAACAAAACTTATCAACAAAGGATCATCTTTGGCACAGACTTTAAAAGACAGAATGGTAATTTCATAACGGCTGAGCTGTTTAATGACAGAGAAAACTTTGGACCCCAATTATCTTTGGTAGTTAATTCATCAGTTCACAGTTGAGGCTGATTTAGCTGAAAGATAAAAGGCCACTGACTATTTACTGAGTTGAAAGATCTTCCAATTAGACCACACTTAGGGTGAGGTAATTAGTTTGGGGGAGAGGGAGGAGAAAGGAAGTGGGGTGTATTTGTCATCTGGTCAGAATATGAGTGAAGTTTGACTCAAAGGAAATGAACGGTTGTGTAATGTTGCCTCAGGGGGGCAGTGTAACTTAAGGCATTTATATACAGTATATCATAAAATGGTAAGAAATGTAAATCCTTAAAGTCTTAAAGTGTAGGACTCATACACATTCAGTTCTTCATTTAAAAAAAAGTGGACTACCTGTTGAAAATCTGTAGATATCAGATTGAGTCATATAGTATAACATGTTTTTGAGTACATGTAGGGCCCAGGACCCGCTGATAGTTGATGAAGAGAGGTTGAAGAAAGGTTGTTTAAAATGGGCCAATGCAATTGTTTTAAGCCTAAATCTAGCTGTTCTTATATGCACAAAGTTTACCTTTTTATCTCTCTGCACTCTGTTTTGAGAGCTTTGCCTCACATCTGTTCTTTGCTGTCCATAATGTAAAATGTGTCAGCAGACAGCAACGATTTTAATTAACTAAGCCTAAAATCATTCTACCATTTTCTTAGTTCAGTAGTTTGCTGAAGATACAGCATCAGATGAAAATCAAAGCTTCTCTAAATTAACGTTTAGATCAGGTAAGTGTGGCCTAAACTATATATATGCCAATATGGCATTCATCAGCAATGTAACAACCACAGTAATTTCATATTGAATAAAAGATGCAACTGGAATTTTCACTGCAGACATTTTGACATGTTGTTGCAGTGAAACAAAAAGCAGTGGCTTCAGTTTGTGCCCCTTCATTTTGATGCTGACCTAGCAAGGCTTAGGGATCTATAGATAGTTTTGTTAATGCTAGCTATTAGGCTACACATTTCTTTCAAGCTATGTCATTTTAGAAATTGTCCATTTCTTAATAATACAAAATACTTCTAAAATACACTCAAAGGAACAATTTTATTGTTGCTAACGTATTAGCAAATTACAGCAAATCCAGTTAGAGAGCAACTTGAGCATCACATTGAAGTTGTGTTTCTTGGCTGTGTTGGGAATGTAAGTAAATCATATATTAATTTTAGCATTTTGTGGTTGCTTGTTAGCCCACACTTGGTTAGTCTGAACGTGTTTGCTAGTATTTAGGAGAGAAATATATGAGATTGTTTACAAGCTAGCTCTAAAAAGATTGAGATGAAAATAAAAATAGCTGTGTGTTAGCTAACTTTCAGTGAAGCTGGCAAGGAGCCACACCTTCAGTATGCTAGATGGACACTTTTTATTGAATACTAATGTCAAACCAGGAACGTGCTAGCATATTTGCTAAAGCTGCTCAAGACCCTGCCCTTGGCCATTGTCATGCCTCTCAAAAATAAGCTAACAACATATTTTTATCATAATAAAAATAGTATTGTTTCTGTTTCTGTTATTCTTGAGAAGTGCTTACCTTTTATTTACAGTGTTAAAACCGCCCCTCTACTATAACCTCTGTTTCACAGGATTTTCTTTCTTGGGGTTTTCTAAACCAGAGGTGCCCAATTACTTTTCAGCCAAGGAACCATACAATAAAAACAATAAACTGGGGAACCCTTCATATATCTCCCTTGGAATGATTTGATGTGGCCTATTTTTGACAAATCTTAGTTAGGTGAAAGAACAGCAAAAGAGACATTTATATAGACCCCTGGCAGTGCTCACTGAGCTATTGGCATACGGGATGGTAACAATTGGACACTTGGCATTAAAACAAAACAAAGGAAAACAAACCTGTATTTTTTTGTTGTTGCAATAAACAGTCACGCCTCTCATGAGGCTCTGAAGGTGTGACAATGGCTTATACTCGTGGGACATGTTGACATTGTTTACTGCTGCTGAGCATGCTGTTGTGCGTGAGCCAGTGAATCTTAATTAGGTAAATTAACAAAACATTTCACATGGCATTCACAAGAATCCAATGAAAATTCTTGTAATGATAATAATTATAGTAATGTTTCTTGTTAAAATAACTTCCCTTGAAAATAAGATGCTTCAAATATCTTTGCCTTTTAGGTCTTTTAAAAATAAATTCTGCTATTTTCTTTTTCATTATTCAATTTTTTTTAGCCTTAAAACGTGAACTTGTGGTCCTAAGCTTTGCCCATCATTATTTTATCCTCAGCATTGTAAGTGTTTTCCTTTTCTCTCTTTTCTCAAACATTTGAGATGGCGCTGTCTTATGTTGCTTATGTGGATCTTGCCCTAGAGGGGCTACCTCCCTTCTACCCTGTGTCCACTCCTCTGAAGCTGAGGGCTGTTATCTGAGAGCTTGTCGTTCAATACACCGCCTTTTGTCAGGATCTGTGACATGACGCTGGCTCCTGTCCTGACATTTTGTGTTGATGAGCAGCAGCCAATTAGTTTGAGCCACTGAGCTCAGCGTCTGTCTGAAGCGACCTGAGGAATGACAGAACAACAACACACACCAGGGTCAGCAGCTCCATCGCTAAGTTCATAACAAACTTCAGCCTGCTGTAAGCATGAGTCATTGTTTTCTATTTTCTATACTTATTTATATTTCTTGATAAAACTGTCTGGGAATTTTGTTTTCAGACAAGACAACATTTACTGTCATTCTACTTTGATATTATGCAACCAGCTGTTTCACAACATGTATCCATCGCTGTCATTACCAACACTTCTGAAGCACAGTCTGTGATTCCAGGGTCCTTAAGGGCTTATAAGAATTACCCATCAAAGTGTGGATTAGTGGAAGCCTTTTAAACCAGATAATGTGAAGCAGTTGTTGTGTTATGAGACATTTCCACATTCACAAGAAAACGGCAAAAATCTGTATCACATGATGAGATTTCAAATTTCTGAAAATGAGCATCATAGGGCCCCTTTAACAACGTTGGTGTGAACAGGCCCTTAAATGCAAATTACTAGAAAGTCTTATCCAAATTCGATACAGCATTATGACTAGTCCTTCGTCTGCGGCTTCGTTTTTCATCAGTGTGTCACCTAAAATAACCCCCTCCATTCATGTCACCCCACACTCCAGTGGCTTTCTGCCCAGCCTGAGTCACCTCTACCAGTCATAATGCATCGGCCGAGAGGAGGGCAGAGGAGGAAGGAGGCGGAGAGGGGCGCAGCACACCTTCTGTGGCCGCTTATACCAGACGTTTGATGAGCAGGCCAAAGAGGAGGAATTTAATATTCATAGGTGAGGATGAGAAGACTGGCAGCTGCGCGGAGGATTTGTAATAGTATCTACTTGCTGCTTTTTGTGGGAGCTGGTGTGTGTGTGTGTAGACACTACCCAGACGGACTGTAAGTGCCAGCTTCTATCAGAGCAAGGGGTGTGTCATTTCAGCCTTTTATGAAACCTAATGCCTACTTACTGTATGTCAGATGTGATGACAGCTGAGGTGGCTGCGGCCTCAATAATTTAATCGGAGAGATCAAAAGTGCAAAGAAGGCATTAAAAGTCTTGCATCATTCATACTGCAAATCAGAAGAAGAATATTGCTGTACTCATACGGCTGAGTCACAACAGCCTTTATAACAGCAATATTTCAGAATCAGTTTATTTCAATTAATCACCGCGGTCATTGTGTTTTCTCGTAGAGGCAAAGCATATTTTCCCTAAGAGCCAACACATGTCATTTTGTACTTTTGAGGAATAGCAAACAGTCTTGACAGAGCTAACCTTTGATGGCATGAGGAGCCCAAAATGAAGGATGATATCATATAAGCTGTGTTTTATATAACCCTGCTCTGCCTAGGGTGTAAAAGGCACATATCTGCTCCATCAAACTGCACTAACTTATTGATTATTACACAAAAACTGCACAAATATTTGTATATGAAATGTATATTAACCTTGCTCGTAGTTATGATCCTACAAATCACAAGACTCTGCATATCCACAGCTAGAATAGCTTTTTAACAACTAGCAGCTCATTGTTTTTAGATGTTTGGTCAGCAGCTTTAAAGGAGACATAATATACGACATTTAAAAAAAATCTGTGCAAGTATGTGTCAATCCCAAACTGGGAAATAGGAAAATCCAGTAAAAATGTTTGTTGTACAAAAAATGGGAATCAACAAGCCAATCAGATTCCTATAACCTCTTACGATGTCACATGCAGGCTTATTAGAGTTAAGAATCACTTTTCCAGAAGTTGCACCATATAAGGGCAAATATGTGTAATCTCCATAGATTGTATGTATTCTCAGGCAGAGTATAACATAAATAATTGTAAAAAAAACAACAACTACATAAAAACTTGTAAACGTGTTCTAGAAACCCAAAATTACTAGGATGATCCTTAAAAGTTGCATATGTCCCCTTTAATGTTTTGTCCACTCTCACTGTTCATACGCTATTTACAGTAGCAGCATAAATGGTCAAAGACAAGGGTAGTTGGTGGACATATTTAGCAGCTAAAGAGACAGATGTTTCCTCAGGAGTTGGTGAAGACCAGAAACCGAGAGTGAACATGTGTTCAAATGAAAGCTAACATTGCCCTGGGTTTGCTGGATGTGTAGAATTTGCACTTAAGAAGTGACAATATGTTTACAGATTTGTTCCCGTTTTGCAGGTCTATTGTACTGTACAATAAGCCACAGCGAGGTCAAGTAGCTACATCATCACTAAGCTTCATGCTTCATGTTTTACGGGGACACATGAATTAAATTGGATGTGTATCAGATAGGCCTTGGAACTTACTAGTGTTATAGCATCTCACCCAATCAAATCAATGATTTGCTTTCGCAGTTTGGACACATTTTTAGACTTGTGTAAATAAGGTAACATTTGAATCCATACAACATGACCTTTAATCTTTAAACAATGTAGATTGAAGGTCACACTTTAGAGAGGTTAGCTAAAAACATTTATTCCAGTTTTACCAAGACACGACATGCTGTAAGCATTGACATCCGAAACACATCTTTCTCTCTGTGAATCTTAACACCGCTTGACACCAAGTATGAAATCGGCCTCCTAATCTCTCCTTGAACACGTGTGTGATACTGCCCTCCTCTACATGCCGCCTGTTTCCTTCCCTCCTTTCTGCACGGGGTCAACCAGGTGAACCCTCCTCACTTTGGCCCTTTCTTATCTTTGCGAGGTATCTCTGCCTCTCCTGCTATGCTAAAAGTTCTTGTGGATCAAATGAGCACTCAGGCCTGCTTAGTAAGTTCTCCATAGCTTCTAACCTAGGGGCTGTAAAAAATGTGGGCACGGCAGTAAAAGCAGACATTATGGTATTAAAAAGGGTCTGGGAAGGAGTGACACTCTTTCTCCATATCTCTCTCTCTATATCCATCTGGTTTGTCTCCTATCTCCTCCCCCTTCCCTCATTGCTCTCCTCATCTCTTGGTTCCGATACACTGGTGCCGAAGTCCATACTGTCATCTGTACGATCAACGGAGCCTGACGAAAGGGGAGGAGGAGGGAGACAAAGGGAAATCTGGTGTGCGGAGAAGTTGGTCATACCGGAGTTGTAAAAGTCCTTGAACAAAGTCACGGTGTGGACGAGGACAAAAGAGGTGGGCATGGTTGCTGACACTCTGGAGGAAGCTTGAACAAGGCTTCTATATACTAAGACCTTTCCTTAGTACATCACTGGGACAAGCTTTGAATGCTAAATATTTAACATCAGCTTGCAGCACTACTAGTATCGATTAATGCCCGAGCAGTCATTAAAGCTGCCCTTCAGACCAGGTGTGGGCCTGACTTAATACAAACACAGCATAGTGATGGGCCAAATTAATAGTTTTTTGTGTGAAGCGTGTGGTTTTAAATCAAAGTTTTGACTAATTTAGGAGCCAAATTATTCATTATATTCAACTGCGCTGCATATCTCGCATGGCTTCCCAGAAATGTTGTGTGAAATGTGTGCACC